CAGATGAAAAGGCAGTGTTCTGTATCCATCAAGCAGAGCATTTTGGCTGATGAGATCAAAGATGGGAAGGAAAGTGGTGTCAGAAGGGAGTTGCTCCTGAAGCAGGCTTTTGTCTTGCAGTGTTGCATGGATGGAAGAAACAAGAGGACTCATAGAGGCATCTTGGGTGGAGAATTAATTAGGAAGAATGAGGAAATTAAGCAGTCCAAGGTGGCTGTGCTGGATTACCAGCTAGCAACTGCCTAGTTCTATCTCTTGAAAATCCCCTCTTTTCTCAAATAAAAGCACTAACCCCAAGTCCCGCCTTTTACAACCTGGTGCCTTTTAGGTGTTTTGTACTATGGTTCCCACCCGCATTGGGCAGCATGGCTAATGATCAAGGGTAATGGGTGTTGTAGTAGTCCACAATCTGGAGGGCACCAGGATGGGGATAGCTGCCATAGTCCAAACACTGGGTTTAGCACATCATTTCCTCGCAGTCTTCACTTGCCCTTCAACATCACAGAGATGAGAAATTAGTGCACTGGTTTCATGTTATACAAACGAGAGAGTAAAAATAGAACAGAAAGCAAGCTGACTGCATGACTTGCTTGCAGGAGATCTAGTAGTATATCCTGAATTAAGACTTTTGGAAATATTAACTTGACTTTGCAGGCAACCCCAGACCAAAGCAGCTGCTACCTTTCATGGCTTTTAAGAGCTGAAATGGTCATATGGTTGTGTGGAGGTTCTCCAGGATAAAGGGAAATGACCTGACATAGACCTGGAGCAGGTATGTTCTCTCTTTAAACCGTAACTTTACAGATTTGCAAATGGGAATATTCAGATCATTTACTGAAAATTTTGTACAACATAGCAAATGTTACATTTGATCCAGCTTATATAGACTGAAGCTGGTATAAAGGACCATTTTGCATATTCCGTGGTGGCAAACCTGTCTTTGCCTCCTAAAGGCTCAGCTATTGGGAATCTGTGGTGAAACCCAACTGCATGCATAAGGGGGAATGCATAAAATACATGCATTTCTTAGTCAGGGTTCCTACTTCACTCCAGCAAAGCTATTTTTGCTAAACTATTTGCCTTTCTAACTAAATGTTAAAAGTTGCAGTTTAATTGGCTGGATATATTCAGTGGGATGCAGGTAGCGTTGTGGGTTAAACCACAGAGCCTAGGACTTGCCGATCAGGAGGTCGGCGGTTCAAATCCCTGCGACGGGGTGAGCTCCCATTGCTCGGTTCCTGCTCCTGCCAACCTAGCAGTTCGAAAGCACATCAAAGTGCAAGTAGATAAATAGGTACCGCTCTGGCGGGAAGGTAAATGGAGTTTCCGTGCGCTGCTCTGGTTCGCCAGAAGCGGCTTAGTCATGCTGGCCACATGACCTGGAAGCTGTATGCCGGCTCCCTCGGCCAATAAAGCAAGATGAGTGCCACAACCCCAGAGTCAGTCACGACTGGACCTAATGGTCAGGGGTCCCTTTACCTTTACTTTATTCAGTGTATTTTGCAAATTGAGCCTATGCAGTCAGAAGTAAGCACCACTGAGTTTAATGGAGCTTACTCTCTCGGGAAACTTTGCACAGGGTTATAGATTTACTGAACCTTTTAAATTGGGTATTATGCTATATACTCCCCCTCCACTCTCTGTGTGGAATCCACAAAGCTGTCTGCATTTTTGGACTCCCTTTTTGGCTATGGGAGCAGCTTCTGTACTTTAGAATGTACCACTACTGCACTGGCCAGTCTGGATGAGTGATAAAAAGGGAGCTTTCCCCTTCCTCCTTGAAAGATGAGAAGGACCAAGTTCTGTCAGAGCAGGGTAAGTAATAAGCACAAACACATTTGGTTGATTTTTATTGCTGTGGCTCATTGCTGGTCAACTTAAAATGGGTAAATTGTCATTTAATTAAATGAATTAACATGCAAACAACAGGCAACAAGTTAGCCAGCGTATAATCAACGGCTAAGGAATTTTAATTTTTCATCTCTGAGAAAGACAGTAGTCCTAGTACATAGCCATTACACTTTTAGCAAAAAATGTCTGCTCCCTGTGGAACTGTGTGGATACTGCTGCCAGCAATGTGAGCAATTTGCACTTACTTCTGCTACACCAAACCCACAGAGACAGACATGATATAATGCAAATTTGCTTGTTAAGGGGTATTAATTTCTGATAGCATGCTCACCAATACTATCACAACAAAAAGAACACCTGCAGCTGCTCCAGAAGCATAATTGTGGTATTTTTATTAAACAAAATGGGTGGAAATGACTTCTACACGTGTGTGCCTGTGTTATGTTGTAGAAACACTAAACATGAAAAACCACAGGCTTTAATGTAGCAGATGTGCAGATGTTGTCTGAGTTCATCCCTTCCTGTTTTTGCTAACTTCCTCACCAGCGTCCTTGCATTTTTCTCATTCACATCCACTGGTTAATAATTTAAGGACAAGAAAGCCTCCACGAGAAAAGACATTTGCTTATGATCTCAACCATATACTTTTTCTTCCCCACACCAAGTTTACTGAAGTCAGTTTTGACATTTCATGTTGAGTCCAGTCTTACAAAAACTTTATTATGACCATCTAAAGTTGGTTACAGTGCACATCTGATTTTTTAAAAAATAAATAAATTGGTGCCTTAGCTGAAGTTTTCCATCTGTTTATGCATCCAGGAACAGGCTTTCCCTTCCCACTTAAAAAAAAAAATGAACAGGAGAAGCAAACCACTGTCATGACTTACTCATTTTTTCAGTGAGAGAAAACAACTAACATCAGAAACGCCAGTTTCTGGCTGCTGCATATAGCCAGTATTACTGCACTTAGAATGAGTCCCCCTAGTGGGGAAATTTGGATTCTTTTCCTTCCTGGTTACATCTCTGCTAGGAATGCCGAAGGTTGGATGTTTTAACTTTTCAGACATATGACTGCCTTTTAGTCAGTTTGAATTTACTGTATGTATTTTGCATACTTTTGTTGTACTGGTGTGACACCTTGAGACCCTTGTGGTGTAAGGAATCAAAATAATAACACAGCCTGGGTTATGTTTTGAAGCAGGAAGATTTATAATCAGTCCTACCTTTTTTAAAAAACACTTGGGACTCTGCATGTTTTTGTTCTGAAACTGAAGTGCTCAGATACAACAACCATGAGTTGATAAACTAATGTACCAATACCCTGAATGGGCATAGAGGGCAGAGAAGCAGCACTGAAACACTCAGGCTTTGTTCAATACCATATTGACCCATATATAGCCCACACTGCTGTCCCCCACCCCCCCACCCCGCCCAAAAAACCTGGCTTGTATGAAATATGTGTGCAGCCTATATTTGCGTCAATATGGTAACTATTATTCAAGAAGGACCATAGCTCAGTGGTTTATAGGGTCCCAAGTTCACTCCTTGAGATCTCCAGTTAAAGGATTTTAGGTAGTTGTGTTGGGAAAGATCCCTCCCTCTATGAGGGCTGCTGCCAGTCCAAGTATTCAGTACAGGGCTAAAAAAGATGATCCAGCTGTTTGAGTCAGCTTCAAAAGTTCCTGACGATGCTGGTTGTTTATTTAAGTCGTGTTTATTCAGGTTCAATATTAAGTTTTCACTTGCCTTTGGCCCATAAAGTGCAGTTCCTTGGTAGGGAAAATGCTGAAACAAATGAAAACCTTGCACACAGACTCTTGCGCACAAGACGGCAATAGTCTAAGGCCACAATAGCCCCCCCCCCACCTTCTTCCTGCCCCCACCCAGGCGATCCAATATTATCACTTAGCAATACAATTAGCATTAAGGATCCAATGTGATACCTGTGTATATTAATCACCTCATATCTGCTTTTCGAACATCAATCATTCAGTGTGCTTTCACTAGACTTTGGTGGATTCTGACATCTCATAGAAAATCTACTAAAATAATGGAAATTCTGTCTTGGAGAAATTCAGCAACAGATATGTCCTTGGTTAATTCTGAGTGCAGACAAAGATTTGGATATTATTCCCTAGAGATGTCTGGTGACATGTCAGTTAAATCTGTCACTACAATACTTTTGCTAAAGAGTCCATATGAACTTGCATTTGACTTATATTTGCATTTGACTTTTTCTGGACTTTCCTTATATTGCCTTACTAAACATCTTTTGCTGTTCTTGATTAAGAAACTGAATACTTTTTTAAAAATAATCATAGCAAGCTATTTTTCATAGCGTAAGTGAAAAACATAGAGGGCAGATATCTTTGGCAGAGGGCCTCATTTCATTGAGACATTTTGAAAAGTATGAGGCTGAAATTCAGTGTTGAGCAAACACAAAAGTATAGTCTTGCTTTGATTCTTGTTGATGAGGCAATTGCTGAGGCCCAGGAAAAAAACTTATCTTAAAACAGTAAATATGTATTTTTCAGTAATGATGTCTGTTTTACAGGAAAACGTTGTCACGCCACAGACGGTGCAAAGCTGGTTCCATGCAGACCATTCTAAAAAGCAGGTTCTTCCACAGGAAAAAAAGAGGAGAGAGAAAGAGACACATCACTTGGCATTTCTAGATTTTATATGATTAAAAGTGGAAAGTGCACAGAAAGGAATTGCATAGATTAGTTAAAGTCCACTGATTTATTTTTTAAAAAATAGGATGTAGCCTATAAATTGCCTTAACATAAGACATGTACACTGATCATGCTAGGAATTAGGACACATACACAAGCAAATATGTTTGGTATGTATGGGGTTGGGGCGGGGCACAAGTATACGAAGACCATTCTGTGCCTTCATAGTTCCTTTTGACTTCCCCCAATAATGCAGACTGTTCTTTTGGTTGCTTACAGCTGCAAAATACAAGATAAAGTTCCTGCACCTGCAAGTCAATAAAACATGGAATAATACATGGAAAAGAAAGAAAACATTGCATTGAATCCAATGAAGTCACTTTCCTTTCCTGAATGCAACCTCACCTTAAATGCTTTGGAGAGTTGGGGTAGCCCCTGAGCAGATTTACGGGGTAATTGGGGCATATGGGGGAGGAGAGGGAGGGGAAGTGCTGTTGCCTAGGTGGAGGTTGTTCTGCTCACACAATGGCTTAATTGGAATGGTGCCCATTGTGACCTTCATGTCTTGGTTTGAAAAATCTTCCAATTTCCTACTTATGTTCTCGTCTCAGCTGTCATCCACTCCCCGTCTTCTGCTATTATTGGGTGAAATCTAATTTCTGCAGGACTATGGCACAATTCTCAGAAAGACTCATGATGAGGGAAGGTCACAGGCTCTCATCAAAGGACCTTTTGTCTCATGGGAAGTTTCACTGTGAGGCAATCAACCAAGCAGAGACAGAACAGCAATTGAACAAAACTAATTGCTGAAGCTGGATAGTTTCCTGTTGTTGGGTCAGGATTTGCCAGGGTGCTTTTAAACACCCTGTCCACACCTTAAAAAGTATTGCCACCATAGAATTAATAGCTGAAATCAGGGAAGGGCTCTAGTTTGGACCAATAATATACAGTACCAATATATAGGGTGGCAAAATGCCCTAAGGCCAGACATTAAATGCTTATTTGCTTCATGGAGGTATACCGAGTGACTGGGATATGGGCTAAGCATACCACACCCCACCCACTCTTTAGTCTTTACCTTTTATGGTGACTTCAGCTTTGCTGACTGCTTGGCCTAGTTCATTGATGGCCACCACCGTGTACTGGCCTCCATCTGATGCTGTGACTCCTAGGATCACAAGAGAGCAGACCCCAAAGTCATTTTTGCTGAAGAAGGTAGGATCCTGAGAGATATTCTTGCCATCTTTATACCACATTACTTGAGGGACTGGATATCCAGTCACAGCACAACTCATGTGACAGTCAAATCCTAGAGTTACCACATGAGGTTTCAATGGGACAAGGAATCTTGGAGGCTGACTTTGGTTGATCCCCTTGTATTTTGGGCTTCTGACTGCAAATTTACCTGTAAGATGCACAAAATGTTGAGTTAAGAGAATGACCATCAACACAGTATACTTAACATTCATGTCTCATATGAAACTGGCAATATTGGCTAAAAACGGGGAGGATGCAGTAGTTTCTTTGGCAAAGTTCTGAGGTTCTAACAATAAAAAGCCAACAAGTTCTCTAGAGTAGTTCTCTAGAGCAGGAATAACCAACTTGGTGCCCCCCCGATATTGTGGTCTACATCTGCCATTATTCCTGGCCAGTGGAAATGCTGGATGGGGCTGATGGGACTGAGAGTCTGAAACATCTGGAGTGAAAAATGTTGGCTCTAGAGTTTCAGGCAAGAGTCATTGCCAGCCCTAATATGTCAGAGATTGAATCTGAGAGCTTCTGCCTTCAAAGCAGGGCTTTTTTCATCAGGAACTCACTGGAACCAATTTCTGGCACCTCTCAGGTGAGTGCCATTGCCATTATAAGAGAACAAGGTGAGTTCTGGCACCTCTTTTTCTAGAATAAGCTTCAAATGCTTCAAAGCATCACTTTATTTATTTATATGATACAGTGAATACACAGAGAGTGAACCAACAAGTACTGGTTTACTTTCAAAGCCTGTTTACCCTTTTCCCTGTGAATGATCCAGGGTTGCACTGTTTCAGAGGGCTCGCTGATTCCCATGCAATTCTTTGCCTGAACTCTGAAGTAGTATTCCCGGCCTGGGACAAAATTTGAGACAGTGCACTTGTTGGTGTAAATCAGGTCAGACACCAGTTGCCAAGATCCTTTGTAGGAGTCACGTCTCATGACCATATAATTCAGGGTCCCCTCTCTCTTCTCTGTTGGTGAGGGCTCCCAAATCAGAGTCACCGTGTCAGGGACCTTCTCAATTAGCTGTATAGGACCAGGAGATTCTGGGACATCTGCAAAGTGAAAATAAATAAAATCAGAAGGCAGAGCCAGAATTTTAAGATGGTGCGGTATAATAAGGTACAAGAGTATTGAAAAGAGGAAATCATGCCCATAGAATTTAGTCACTCATGCTGATAGCCATCCCTGATACAGTTAAGTGAAGAAAAATGTGTATTGCAAACCTCATTTTAAGGCTTGATATCTGCTGCAATTATACTGCTGAAATGGATAAAGTGGACTGAGATGGGTAACCAAGGGCTCATTTTTGTATAGATGGACTGTAAAGTCCATTCAGTTCTGGTGCTCAAAACAAATTCCAGAGCTTAAAATTCTTTCCTTGAAGTATTCCATGTCTTTTACACCAGGCTCTAGTTTGGATTCTATTAAAAAACCCCAAAGGAGATCCCGCAAGCCTGAAGTCTGTCCAAATCTACCCTAGTTTTTCCCAGGCCAGTTTGCCTATGTAGTCTAGCTGACAAACTACTTTCAGATGACCTAAACTATTGGCTATAACCAGCTACTGTCATCTTTTTGCTGTTGCTGTTGTTGTTAGTTAATAGTCAACCTTGTTGAAAGTGAGGCGTATAATTACCTCAAAGTTTTCACACTGCTATTGTTAGTCTTAATATGCTGCCCACCCTGAGCTGCAGAGGTAAGGAGGGCTCGGCATTTCATTTAAAAGGAATAAAAGCCAGGCAACACTAGCCTGGAGCTTGCTTGTGGAAGGAAGCCAGCTTTCACCCTCTTTGTCTCCCAGACAGAAATGCCCGTTGACAGTTGGTACAGCCATTTTTGTAAACTGTAAATGGAGGGGCTGACAGACTGTGATGCTTGCAGCTGGTGTCTTATTCCATTGCTGACAGTTGCCCATAAAGGACTCCTATGACATGTGATCCATGGTCCTTTTTTGGCATTGCTAAATATGCTGACTTGTGACCTTTCAGTGCCCCTATGGGCTGTATCTCCCCTCATGGACAATAGACACCTGTCTAGCTGAAGGATTATAGAGAGTATGGTATTGAACAAATTTTCCAAAAAAGGGAATTCGAATGCAGATTGCACATTTGGAAACGCCTTGCATGGTCCTTACCTAGAACTTGGACTAGGAAGCTGAAAGTCTCTTTATTTCCACGCTCAGTTTGGAGGGTGATGCTATAATGGCCACTGTCAGAAAAGTCAGCTCCTGGGATGATGAGTTGGCTCAGGCCTTCTCTAGTAGCTATTGTGGCTTTTGCGGGCAGAGTAAGACCATCCTTTAGCCAAACCACTTCAAGAGGTGGGGAGGCCTGGTGAACAGAAAAGAGATAGTAAAACTTTTGTAACTGGGCTGTGGAAGAATTCAGTTTTTGCAAATTCTGGTATGAACTATTCAGACACAAACCTCCTGGACTAATGTGCAGGTCAGAACATAGTTATTTTTCAGATTTTGTGCTAAACTGAATTTTGCAATGCACTTTTTGGCTCAGAAAATGTATCAAGATCCATTTGAAATGGATATTTTGAGATAAAATACATCTAGAAATGTGTATTGTGTGAGAAAATGCATTCAAATATACAATTTTAAATATATATTTAAGATGTGAATTTTCATGTAGATTAAAAAAAACAAATCAATGGGAGAATGGGAGGAAACAGATTTATGACAAACACATGCAAACATGGCATAGATGAGAATCAGCCTGAGCCATTATCCCTATTTTTCAGCTTCTGTTTTGACTTGAAATGTTCATTTTGGGCTTCTCAGAAGTATGTAAAGGGAAGAAGTGCTGGGGGGGGGGAATGAAAGGTGCCGGAACTACACTCCGGCTGAAAAACGTAGAAGCACTGAGTAACAAAATACTGTATACATAGGACAGCGATGGACAACTTCTGTATTTCCAGAGACTACTTTATTTGCCATACCGAGGGCTGCACAAACTCATCATTTCATAATGAAGCTACTGTCCATCCAGTAGTAAGAATCTCAAAGCAGTGGACAACACATAGACATAGAATATATTATACAGTGCTATATTACATATTTCTGGCACACAAAATCAAAAAGAAAGATGCAATATTAAACTGTATCTCTTGTTTCTTACAACTTGAACACTACCCCCTTGAATGAATTTGTAAGTTATATATTTATGAAAAGATGAATGTAAAGTCACACACACACACTGGTCCATGTTTGTTTAGCAAAATCTAGAATGCATCTTGTGCTCTTAGGTTTTTGACAAAAAGAAAGAAAGGCATGGGAATGGATTTTGTGAATGCTGCACTTCTCAGAAAGGCTATACTTACTTCAAAGGGAATGCGCACACGAATGGCATCCCCTGCTTTTACAATCATGAAGCTTTTGGTGGTGTCCTTTACCAAGAGTTTGGGAGGAACTAAAATGGGGAAAAAATACATAAGTTAAAGACTTCATCTTGGATTGTGAAATATTGGCACTTTGCAAAAATATTGAATGCCTAGTAACACCATCCACTGCAAGTACTTTCGAGAAGCCCTGCTCGACCTGAGAATTTTGTTTCTATGACAGCAGGATCAGCTTCTACAAGTGATTTAACAACTGATTCTCGAGTTACTTTTAAGGTATGATTTATTGTAGAAGAACTGCAACTAAATAGATGGCACTTTTGCGCCTGCCAATTATTGGAGGGTTGTGTCTTTTCGCCACAGTTTGATTCAGCCATCTGCAATGGACTCCTTAGGCATGAAGCTCAATCCAAGCTTTCTCAGGTAGTCTCCTTCAGTTTCTCTTTTCATGAAATGCAGGAAGAGCTGTAGTTCAGGAGCAGAGCTTCTGCTTTGCATACAGAAGGTCCCAGGTTCAGTCCCCAGCATCTCCAGATAGTACTGGGAGAGTAACCCGTCCCAAAACTGCCAATCAGTGGAGACAATACTGAGCTAGATAGATCCATGGTCTGAGACAGTATAAAGTAGCTTCCTATGTCCCTATGAACTGTCACTCCCCAGTCCTCACCACACCAGGTTGGATGCAATAACATCTTCTGGTACTCAGCTTTCTTTTTTCTTTGGGCTTCGTGTTCATTCTGATAATCTCAGCAGTTCCTCAGCATGTCCCCACCCCTATTACAGCTTTTGGTTTCTGTTTATAGTACAGTGGTACCTCGGTTTTCGAACATAATCCATTCCGGAAGACCATTCGACTCCCAAAACATTTTAAAACCGAAGCATGCATTTCCAGAAGCATTTCCATCTAGAAAACTCAATACGGAAGCCATGTGGCACGTTTGGCTTCCGATAATGGTTCAAAAACCAAAGCAGTTACTTCCAGGGTTTTGGCATTCAAAAGGCGAAATGTTCGACTTCCGAGACATTTGAAAACTGAGGTACCACTGTATACCCTTTCAAGTTGCTGCTAGGGTCATTTCCTCAAATACACACGCCCTGAGAGATTACAAACACAAGACAACCAGCAATCACAATAGTGAATATCACAATTCAATTATGTTTTTCTCTCCCCTCACCCTTTCATTTTTGTTTGTTTCTGAATTCCATTCATCGCCTTTTATTGCTTCCTTGGCCATCCCTCTAGTATTTCACTATGCAACTCTTCCTATGCAAGATCTGCCAACTATTCCCTATGGTTCATTCTCTACTGCTTTTCCCTGTCCCTAGTCTTCTACTCCTTGGGGAAGTCCCACAGATTTTAGTCTCTGTATACCATCAATTACCAAAGCAAAAGCTGGACATTATGACTCACCTGTGGGAGGTACAGCTTGGACACAAGTGTCCAGTTCGACGGGCTCGCCAAAACCACCATCATTGACTGCTCTCACTCGTAGGAAGTACATCTCCCTGGCTTTTAGCCCTCTAACTGTGTATGTAGTCATTGGGATTGGGAGGGAATTGCACTGGGTCCACTTCAGAGTGTCAGTGTGCCGCATCTCTATAATGTAGCCTTTGGCATGACTTTCTTCCTCTGCTTCTGGCTTCGTCCATGACAAAGAGATGCTGCAGTAGTCAGTACTGATCACTTTAAGATCTCTCACTGCACCTGGTGGTTCTGGAAAGGGGATGATTCAAAATTCCAATCAGTTTATTTTGTCCTTGTTGTTCAGTTCTGCCTCCCTTGGTTTATCTTTGCTCCCTTACTTTTTGTAATGTGTTAGTGCAGAAGCATAATGTCATGACAAACCCCAGCCCTCTTTCTGGTAACTCTGGCAATCATTCCCTATCCTGTACCCAGTTCACTGTAAATTCTATACCATGCACTCTGTAACAGACAGTAGAATTTGTGTATCAAATATATATTTATATACCGGCATCAAGAGTGGCTTGTTCTCCCTGCAGTGGTACTGCTTGAGAGTACAGAGAAGGGGCAGGGTGGTGGCAAGATTGAAACAGGTGCACCAGCAGAAATGCTAGATCTTGGCTGCATTGTTGCTGTCCTGGCCCCATCATAGGAAGCAACAGTGACATCACTGCCAGGCGACTACCTCACCCTGCTGGCCATGCCTGACTGGAATCCATACAGTTTTTATAAGATAACAAGTAGAAATGTCATTATTTGGCCTGCTGTGTCCACCCTCCATGCATTTACTCATGTCCATTCCCTAGCAATTGTGGAGCTAGTGATTACTGCTGTCATTTGGGCTTTTCTCAAGCAAAGGGGCACATTCTCCATTACTGAGAGGGGTAATTGAGTACTGCTGCCTGAAACCCATATCCCAATTTAAATGTGAATGATGGCACTCAGCAAACGATTTGTTGAGTGGATGAACACATCGAAACATTTTGTGCAACTTCTCTCTCCCCCCCCCTTCCCCACCTCTGGTTTTCCTGTTCCATGCCCAGTAGGATAGACTGAATCACTTACTCATGGGATCCCGAGCAAAAGCAGCTTCCGACGGGGCACTAACGTCACCCGCCCCTGCAGCATTAATGGCAGCCACACGGAATTCATACAGCAGACCCTCCTTCAGGTCAGTCACTGTGTACTTCCTGTCTGCAGAATTGAATAACATAATGAGAAATAATTATCCTGCTTTGAGTTTTGTAGATACAGAAGACAAATGAAACTGAATGTTATTCCTACTCAAAGTGGTCCCACTGAAATTAATGGCCACGACTAACTTCAAGCCGTTAATTTCAGCGTGTGAGAAAAACAAAGTTGACTATATCCCAATGAGCGTTGTCATGCACTCTTTTTTTTTTTAACAGAATGTAGTCCTCTATTAGAAAGAGATTTCTGTTTAAAGGGCTGTCTGCTCTAAGTCCCACTTAAGATAAAGAAGAGAGGTCATAGAACTGGAAGGGACTACGAGAGTCATCTAGTCCAACCGCCTAGGATGCAGGGATCTTTTCCCCTATGTGGGGCTCGAACCCAAAATCCTGAAATAAAGTTGCATTATGTACTGACTGAGCTGTCCTGCACTTAGGGGACAATGAAGCTGCCAACAACAGTCATCTACGGGTGTGTTTTTTTAACTGTGTGTTGAGAGGGTGGGATTGTTTTTGTTTGTTACTATGGTATGTATTCTTGTGTTTTTATATTGTAAACTGCCCTGTGATCCTTGGATGGAGACATATAAATTTTAAAAAATAAATAATGATCCCAAATCCATTCAGGAAATCATATAGTGAGCATGGTGATGCCACAATATGGAGTCAGTCAACCTTGGCTTTGTGTTTGCATTACTGAGAGCAAGGATAATAAAGAGACCTTAACACATAGTACATTCTTCTAACTAATTTACCTAATTATTTCCCCTACTATAAAAAAAGAAAATAGGTATAGAGATTGATGAGAACATTTGTGGTTAAGTTCAGAAGGGAATTCTAATCAACAAAACTATCCGGTGAGAAAGGTTACTTAATTTAGTAACATATTTTAGGCAGGAGGTTAAAAGCCCTTACAAGGCAGTGAACAAAACATTTAAAATGCAAAACAGTTCATAAAATTAGAATAAAACCAAGCAGCTATTTGAGACACCATAAACTGTCAACAGAAAAGGGCTTATTATAACCCTGCAAATATATTTTAAAATAGTTTCTACAGCATCATCCTAAAAGCATGAAGACCAGTGCCTTATTTTCCATAACACATATACTCATTTTTACTTATTCATCACTTTTATAACTCGTCATTATACTTTACCAGAGCTAAATTGGCAACCTAAGAATACATCTCAATATTCCAGTTCCTATTGTAATGCCCTTTATCCACTTTGCCCTATGACTGCTTACCTGTAATGGGCACATCAGTGACAGGTGTCCAGCTGTTGCTGCCCTTCTTGCACTTCTCAACACTGTAGCCCAAGATGCGGGAGTTGCCGGTCTTATGTGGTGCTGCCCATGAGAGTGTGACGGCACCCTTGCTGGTACTGACAATTTTGGGAGGAGCAGGAGGACCAGGAAATGCTGGGGGGGGGAATGCAGTTGCTCATTATTTAAACATCTATACTGCCTGTTAAAACAAGAATAATTTCTAATCATAATTTCTAATTCAGCTAACAAGTACCACTAGCAGACGTCCATGCAATTTAGTTACACATTATTGGGGGTCTGATGGGATGTTGAATGTTGGCATGGCAAGCTGACAAACAAACATGCAGAAGGGTCCCTGTTACCTTTGGTAGCAGCCATCACTTCATCAGACTCCAGTGCCTCACTGGTACCTTCGGCATTCACTGCTCTCACTTTGAAGTAGTAACTTTTGTCATGTTCCACTTTGTTGGTGGTGAAGACAGTGCTGCTTCCATCGGTCTTCCCCAAGGTCACCCAGGTCTTTCTGCCAACCTGCTGCCTCTCGATAATATAACTCAGGATTGGTTTGCCACCATCATCTTTGGGGGGCTTCCACTGGATAGTTATACTATTTGTGGAGCAGTCCACAACTTCGATGGGCCCCATTGGTGGTTGAGGCTTATCTGCATGGAGGAGCAAAACAGAGCTTATGGGAAAAGGTCTTTTGTGTCTGCTTGGTATTGGAATGTTTGCCATATCTTTTGAGTTAAGTGGACAAGATCAATGCAAGGATTCACGTATTGTGGATAGAAGTTTTAGGTTGAAGACAGACGCAATATCAAGAGAGCTCACAATGACTTCTAATTCTTGTGATGGCTCTATCTTACTTCCGGGATGATAGGTAGCATGCCTCTGAATACCAGTTCCTGGGGAACAAAAGTAGGTAAGATTCTCCCTCTGTTGTGTGGGCAGGTAGTCCCTCTCCTACATGGCCTGGTCTCCTTGGCAACACTTCCCCCAGGCGGGATTGGACAACTGACTGAGGTAGGCGGAGACCACCAGGTATCCCACCTGGGGGAAGGCGAAGCCAAGCCTGTGTTGATGGAGCCACTCAAGATCCAGGGGCTGCGTGCGTTCACGCAAAGGTTACCCCCTGTTTTATGTGGGGAGCGGTCATTGCCCTCATGTCCTACTTCTGAGCTTCTCAGAGGTACCTGACGCTAGTTGGCCACTGTGGGAAGTGGGATAACAAATCTGATCCAGCAAGGCTCTTCTTATGCAGTGCTGGAAAAATGATCTGTCAGCACTTTTTCTTATACTATTTATCAGTAACATACTAATGTTAATATATCGTTCTTGTCCCTGTCCACACACCACTGCTGCTACTGCTTCGGGTTTCACATGGGAAATGGAGTGCTCTGCAGCCAAGGTGCTTGAATGGGAGGATGCTGGGCTGCTTCCATCTCAACGATCCTGCAGTAGGCACTGTGATTTCCAACAGGAGAATGCAGCAGTAATGATCAAGCAAGAGAGCAAGCAGGGAGGGGCAAAAATGTTTTATTTTCTGATATGCTAGAGACAAGCATTATTATCAAAAGGCACTTTCTGTGCTATGAACAACTTCTCTCTCTCTCTCTCTCTCTCTCTCTCTCTGTGTGTGTGTGTGTGTGTGTGTGTCTGCCTGCCTGTCTTCAAATTTAATCAGAATTGGTGCATGCTCTGCGCTGCAACTACCTGCTTATAGGCACCATGTACCAATAAATATGCTCTCTATGCTTCAGCTTCCAAATGTGTGACACCTCATGCAGGCCTTAAAGCCCCCCATAAAGTTGTCTTATAACTTATTGCTAAAATACTTGGGGTCTCTCACCTAGAACTACCAGCTTGAGAGTAGCTTCAGTGCTTCCACTCTCATTCTTCAGTTTCACTTTATAATCACCACAGTCCTTCCGATTAGCACTGGATATGGAGAGCCGGGTGAAGTTGTCTGAATAGTCAGTGCTGATCCTGGCATCATCCAGAAGTTCCCCTTCATCCTTTAGCCAAGTTGATCTGACTGGCTTCCGGCCTTCAAATGGGATCTTCACTATGGCATTCTTTCCTGCCTTTACTACTATAGGTTCCTTCTTCAGTTTTTCCAGAAGAGCAGAGTCAACATTTGGAGGGTCTGCACATAGAAATAAGAGGAACATGAATTAGTCCCAATATATGAATGTTCTGTGCTTATTATTCTTTTAAATAACCCACGAGCCCACAGGAAATAGTGATGCCTAATATTTAGCCAATAGTTGCCAGAACCTCAGAATTCACAGAATTCTTAAACTCTTTCAAAGTGCACCTCACTGAAAACTCACTGGCAACGAAAGTCCTTTGTCACTAATCCAAGTATTTGATGTTGTTTTACTGCTGATAGTGTGCTTAGTACAAGTGATGCAGTCTTCACTCAGAGGATATACAAACAAACTGTAATAGATCCCAGGGATGGGGAACAGGGTCAGAAGCGAAGTGGTAGCTAAGGTAGCAGGAAGCACTGCAACTGTAATGTAGGGAGTAAAGAAACAGAGGAATAGCAAGCAACGAGCCTAGTATGATTATTATTTTTAAGTGTTAAAAATGTGAATTCTCAGAAGGTATCTAAGTGAGTCAAGATTACAGAGCTGCTGCAAGTGCTATACAACAATGTGGAAGAAGGTACAGAGGTCAATGAGGGAAAGAGAAATAAAAAAGGAAGGGAAACTAAACATTTGGACAGCAGGTGGCATGGGAAGAGGTGCCATAGAAATGATGGAAAAGTCATGGGAGAAAAAGGGCAAGAACTAGATGTGATAGAGAGGGAAGATGTGATAGGTAGGGAAGTAAGGAGGAAGGGTAATTCGCAATCAAAGCAACTGGGGAGGATTAGTTTAGCAGAGCCATTCTGAAATGACCAAGGTTCTCTCTCTCTGCTTTTGAGACAATGAGATATGGTTTATGTGGATTGTTAATTCAGTGACTTCATCATGCTTTCCAGCACCATGTGTCCCACAAAATCATATAATACTAAGAGCATAATTCAACCAGTAGCAATTTTAGCACCATTTTCTCTACTAGGCTTGACTAGACTTGCCTTCAACAAAAATAGATGCCTCTGTTCGGACTCCTCCAGCTTCGAATTTGTATTTTCCAGCATGACTATCTTGTACTTCATCTATTAATAGTTTGTGGACTGGGCCCTCCTTCTCAATGGAGATTCCATCCTGGCCTGTTATCTTGCAGGGAGGTAGACAGAAGGTAAAGAAATATTCTCTCTCAGAAATTACATGGAACATTACAGCAAACAGAGAGAGTCATAAAGTCAGCTATTTTCTCTAAACTGGTTTCAGACATGTCCCATCTTTGGTTGATAACAACCAGAGACAAAGTTAGGCATTCTGTTCCTCCTGCTTGTTGTCTGCATTATGGAAGCTTTATTTCAAGATAAAAAATTAAAGTGAAAAAGATGAGTATAAGACTAAAAAGACATTCTTGAGATGTTTACTGCTTTCAAGTTACCTTGAACCCATCTTTAAACCAAGTTCCCTCAAGCTGGTCATTGTTGAGGCTGCAAGTTAACACAGCTGGTTTTCCTTTTGGTGCATGGAGGTCAAATAAACCTTGGTTGAAACGGGGATGTGATTCTGTGCAAACAAAAGAGATAGAAGAGACTATTAAAGAAAACATCTTTAAAAACATGAAAGATGTTATTGTTAGGATATTTCCGTTCCACCTTAAAAGGGAGAAGGCTTTGTGAGTCACAGAGTCTGCGCATTTCCTGTTCACAGGATGTTTATGTTTTCTATTGCTTTCGTTTTTCTCTCTCGGTGCCTGAACGCTGAAGCAGGCGGTCATGTTTTTCTCTGTTCTGACTAACGCAGAATAAACTTATAATTTATGCTCTCCTGCGTGCATCTTTTGCTGTGCATTATCTGCTGATAAGAGCGTGCACCAGTTCTGGAATGTGGCAAGCTATTTCTGGAGCTCGTGTCGCTAATTGCTGATACTACGTGTCTACGGGAGATCGATGGACGTCCGGAGGCGACATGGGGCCATGATGGACTTTGTCTCCATGGCAGTATCCCAACAGTTATAAACACAAATAAATGAAACAGGGACACAATAAATTACAGTAAGCCCGCAACTTACATGAAGGTTCGGCAAAAACACGTAAAGCCAGGAATTCTCAGATGACCCACCCCTCACTCTCAGACCACCTTTGCTTGCTCTCTTTGCCCTATCTCATTATCTGGTTCTCTGACTCCAACGCTCTGAAGACGCTTGAACATTCTCCCAGGGTGAGTACAAAGGCTGATGGGATTGCCAACTATTGTTTCCTGCTCCCTTGCTTTTTTCTGACATTTTTTTAAAAGCGTATTTGAATTTCCCCCCCCCCAAAATCTTCCAATTCACATATATTTTTTTGATCACCTGCATACAGTTGTGGTCGCGTAAAAAAAGAAAAGTGAGCATAAGTTGTGGGCTTACTGTGTTCATAAATATATAAATACCTCTCACATCCTCTTCAAGAAGACTTCCTCCTCTCCCATTTCCTGTCCCTGGTTCTTGAAATATCAGATGAAGTAAGTTGACTGGCATCTAAGTCAGACAGCTGTCTTCTTCTGTCACCAGCATGGGTTCCAGCGTCAGAAAGGCCAGAAGACTGTCCATAGCCTAGGAACTCTTCACCAGGAATGCCTGACATGTTCTCATACAGGGATCCATCAACACCTCTAACTCCTGGACCAACACCAAATCCACCTAGCCTACCATCCCTACCATCCAACCATCCTTCACCACTAAGACCACCAGCACCAGTTCCACTAACCCTGCCATCCTTACCTATCCCCCCTTCACCATAACCCTCACCTGATACACCATACTTGGTGCCAGCTCCTCCAGTTCGATCCATCATGCTACCCATGGCTCCTAATCCAGTGCCAGGACCACCAGCCTCAGTTCCATGTAAAGTACCTGCCTGACCATAAAGGTCACCGGTGCTCCCTACACCTCTTAACCCAGCACCACCAGCCCTAGGAAGCACACCATCCTTACCATGATGACCTCTCATACCTTCTGCACCAGAAACAACAGTACTGTCAAGCAGACTGTCTGTGCCACCAGCACCACCAAGTCCACCAGTGCCTGGTCTATTTGGCATTCCATCCTTACCATAGAGCCCACCAATGCCACCAGCACCACCAGGCCCGCCAGCACCAGCTCCACCTAACATACCATCCTTGCTATAAAGTCCACCTACTCCACCAGCACCACCTACTCCACCTACTCCACCAGCACCACCAAGTGCGCCAGCACCAGCTCCACCTAGCATCCCATCCTTGCCATAAAGTCCCCCTACTCCACCAGCACCACCTACTCCACCAGCACCGCCAGGTCCGCCAGCACCAGCTCCAGCTCCACCTAGCATCCCATCCTTGCCATAGAGTCCACCTACTCCACCAGCACCGCCAGCTCCACCAGCACCACCAGGTCCGGCAGCACCAGTTCCAGCTAACATACCATCCTTACCATAAAGTCCACCTACTCCCCCAGCACTGCCAGCTCCCCCAGCACCAGCTCCACCTAGCATCCCATCCTTGCCATAGAGTCCACCTACTCCACCTGCACCGCCAGCTCCGCCAGCACCACCAGGTCCGCCAGCACCAGTTCCAGCTAACATACCATCCTTACCATAAAGTCCACCTACTCCCCCAGCACTGCCAGCTCCCCCAGCACCAGCTCCACCTAGCATCCCATCCTTGCCATAAAGTCCACCTACTCCACCAGCACCACCAGCACCACCAGGTCCACCAGCACCAGCTCCACCTAAAACACCATCCTTACCATAAAGTCCACCTACTCCACCAGTACCACCAGGTCCGCCAGCACCAGCACCAGCACCAGCACCAGCTCCACCTAACATACCATCCTGACCATAAAGTCCCCCTACTCCACCAGCACCACCAGGTCCACCAGCACCAGCTCCACCTAACACACCATCCTGACCATAAAATCCACCTACTCCACCAGCACTGCCAGCTCCACCAGCACCAGCTCCACCTAATACACCATCCTTGCCATAAAGTCCCCCTACTCCACCAGCACCACCAGGTCCACCAGCACCAGCTCCACCTAGCATTCCATCCTTGCCATAAAGTCCACCTACTCCACCAGTACCACCAGGTCCGCCAATACCAACTCCACCTAGCATCCCATCCTTGCCGTAAAGTCCTCCTACTCCACCAGCACTGCCTACTCCACCAGCACCACCTACTCCACCAGCACCAGCTCCACCTAGCATTCCATCCTTCCCATAAAGTCCTCCTACTCCACCAGCACCACCAGGTCCGCCAATACCAGCTCCACATAGCATCCCATCCTTGCCATAAAGTCCCCCTACTCCACCAGCACCACCTACTCCACCAGCACCACCAGCTCCACCAGCACCAGTACCAGCACCACCTAACATACCATCCTCACCATAAAGTCCACCTACACCAGCACCACCTACTCCGCCAGCACCAGCTCCACCTAGCATTCCATCCTTCCCATAAAGTCCTCCTACTCCACCAGCACCACCAGGTCCACCAGCACCAGCTCCAGCTAACATACCATCCTTGCCATAAAGTCACCTACTCCACCACCACCACCTACTCCACCAACACCACCAGCTCCAGCTCCACCTAGCATCCCATCCTTGCCGTAGAGTCCCCCTACTCCACCAGCACCACCAGGTCCACCAGCACCAACTCCGCCTAGCATTCCATCCTTCCCATAAGGTCCTCCTACACCACCAGCATCACCCATTCCACCAGCACCACCACTGCCTAACAAACCATCCTTCCCATACAGTCCACCTACTCCACCAGCACCACCAAGTTGACCAGCTCCAATTGGCAGACCGTCTTTGCCACAAAGTCCACCTACTCCACCAGCACCATCAAGTCCACCAGCTCCACCTAGAAAACCATCTTTGCCATAAAGTCCACCCACTCCACCAGCACCCTCAGTGCCAGCTCCACCTAGCATCCCATCCTTGCCATAAAGTCCCCCAAATCCACCAGCTCTACCAGCACCACCAGCACCAGCTCCACCTAACATACCATCCTTACCATAAAGTCCACCTACTCCACCAGCACTGCCAGGTCCACCAGCACCACCCAACATACCATCCTGGCCATAAAGTCCCCCAAATCCACCAGGACCACCAGCTCCACCAGCCCCAGCTCCACCTAGCATTCCATCCTTCCCATAAAGTCCCCCTACTCCACCAGCACCACCAGGTCCGCCAATACCAGCTCCACCTAGCATCCCATCCTTGCCATAAAGTCCCCCTACTCCACCAGCACCACCAGCACCACCAGCTCCACCAGCACCAGTACCAGCACCACCTAACATACCATCCTTACCATAAAGTCCACCTACACCAGCACCACCAGCTCCCCCAGCTCCAGCTCCACCTAGCATCCCATCCTTGCCATAGAGTCCACCTACTCCACCCGCACCACCTGCTCCACCTAGTATCCCATCCTTGCCATAGAGTCCACCTACTCCACCCGCACCACCTAGCATCCCATCCTTGCCGTAGAGTCCACCTGCTCCACCAGCACCACCAGCTCCACCTAACATACCATCCTTCCCATAAAGTCCACCTACTCCCCCAGCACCGCCAACTCCCCCAGCACCAGCTCCACCTAGCATCCCATCCTTGCCGTAGAGTCCACCTGCTCCACCAGCACCACCAGCTCCACCTAACATACCATCCTTCCCATAAAGTCCACCTACTCCCCCAGCACTGCCAACTCCCCCAGCACCAGCTCCACCTAGCATCCCATCCTTGCCGTAGAGTCCACCTACTCCACCAGCACCACCAGGTCCACCAGCACCAGCTCCATCTAGCATCCCATCCTTGTCATAAAGTCCCCCTACACCACCAGCACCACCACCTCCACCAAGCATGCCATCCTTACCATAAAGTCCACCTTCTCTGCCAGCACCGCCAGCTCCCCCAGCACCAGCTCCACCTAGCATCCCATCCTTGCCGTAGAGTCCACCTACTCCACCAGCACCACCAAACCCAGCTCCTGGCCCACCTGCTCCATTAAGTGTGGAACCATCTGAAGTTTGCAGTCCACCTGCACCTCCAGATCCAGTTCCTGTGCCACCTAACATAGCATCTTTACCATGCAGTGAACCCATGCCACCCAAACCACCCATTCCTCCACTAACACCATATCCAGTATGTCCCATATGTTCACTACTACCACCAGCAAATCCAGAGAACTCATGCCCTTCTCCCATGTCTGTCCCCACCCCAGAAAACTGTCCCATCTTCCCATCTCTGTTGGCTCCTCCTCTTCCCAAAGATCCATCTTTTCCTAAGGAACCATAAGATTCTCCTTCGCCAGCTTGGCCATTCTTATACTGGCCATCCTGCTCATCATGGCCTTGTCCTTGACGAAGTTTCTTTGCACGGTCTTCATCTAGCTGTTTCTTCCGCCATCCAGTTATATCATCACTATCTCCTTCAGTCTGCTTTCTCTTTCCTTTAGCTGCATTGTAAACATATTGCTAGTCAGCTTAAACTAGTTCACAGCCATGTACAAGAAATAAATGGGAAAACAAGGGGGAAACTAATGTAGTACAAAATAATTCTGTTTTAATCAGAACCATATTAAGGAAATAGATGTGATCAATATTATACATGAATTTTGTTAGTTAGTTTGTTTTAAGTGAAGGAAATCACCTCTTATTTCCAAATAGTTACTGGCATTAAAAAAAAACAAACAAAATGGCAATATAGGCCACAAAAAAGTCATGCCCACTAGATTGACTCATATCTTTAACAATGGTATGGACAAGTGAATAAAGGTTAGGAAGTATCAATGAATATTGGCTATGGCAACTAAAATGGGTCCTTTATATCTCTTTCTGCTAGTGTTGGAGACAGTGTGCTGGTATAGATGAACTGTTGGAGTTTTTACAATTTAACAAAGTTTTCTATAGAACTCCTTTCCTTTAAAACAATGATATTTCTAATACATGTTAAACATGCTAGACAGGAAAGCACAAGCACAATTAAAGGATTGCTATTTAAAGTTACTGGTGTAAGAAATAATGACAATAGGCCCTAAGGTTTCTTCCAATATCTATCCCGTTTAAATCAGAAGTCCTGCTGTGAGGGAATGGGGCACCCCACTTCACAATAGATTATAGTGTGAGAAATCAAGATTAGATCACCACTCACATTCAACCTCAAGCCAGGCACTTGAAGAGCGGTCTCCAATATCAATGGTGTAAGTCCCCTTGTCAGAGGCCTGGGTGTTTTTGATGATTAGGCGATGAGTGAGGCCATCTTCCGAGACCGAAATTTCATACTTGTCATTGGACTCTAGAATACAGTCTCTGTGCAGCCACGTAGCGTTGGAGCAGGGTTCGTAGAGAGTGCACTGAAAGACAGCATTTCCTTGCTCGTGGCATCTCACCTCACCAAGAGGATAGCGAAAACTTACTGGGATGGCTGCAATACCAAATTGATGTTAAACAGACATGCAACAGATTCTGACCGCAGGGCAGCTTTGGAAGAACAGTGAGATGGATGGAACGTGGGGAAACCCAGTTCCATTCAGCAGTGAGTGAGGGCTTAGTATCTGCCTTCCAAAATTACCCAAACAAATGCTAAAACCTGAACAGAACTTCCAGCCCTGATTTGGCAACAAAGCACCCTGATAGCCTGATACGGACTGCATGTGAAAACCTCTGAGAAATTCATCTGCCCTTATTTATGCAGCAATTTTTAACCCTCAGAGTGTACATTAAAGCTTGTGAGATGCTCTAATGTCAGGTGGGGCTCCATATCTAGACTGTAGCTAGGTGCTATCATGTTTTTGTTTTTTGGTAAAATGAGGTCTTAAAACCTCATGTTTGGTAAAATATGCACCATTATGCAATTAGAAACCAGCCCCTTCTGCCTTCTAATCAAGTTCTCAGCCTACACACATCTTTCTATTAAAGCTGAGCTCAGTCACAAAAGTGAGAGCTGCTTCACATCTTTTGAGACATTTGATCCAACATGGGTATAAATCCCTGGCGTGTGTGTTTATGTACTATGTGCATCAAAAAGACACAACTGATACATGAAGTTACAGTTATAGCCTTAAAAAGAATAAGGCGTGAAGAAGCCCTGAGGCCTTAGTTTGAACATTTGTTTTCATTGTTAATTTTTGTGGTTAATTTTTGACACTAGTCAGGTGGCAATCCTATGCATCCTGCAACCCTGAAGGTAAACACAGGACTTGCCTCTGAGAGACCATGCATAGGATTGAGCTGTAACTTTGAGATTTAATTACAGCTGAGACTAGGGGTGTGCAAGAATCCCCCCAGTAGTTATTTCGTTTTTGTTATTAAACCCTCACACATTTAGTATTTCATTAATTAATAATCACATTCATTTTCATTATTATTTAATTCATTGGCATTATTCTCATTTGTTCTTGGTTTTCCCCTGCCTTCTATGGGACATCCAGTGGCATTTCTTCTCCTTGTTACTCTGTGTTTTCCAGTTGGTATGAAAATATCAAGCATTTCATTCCCTTTCTAAGGAATCAGACCTTAGACTCAGACCTGCTAAATTTCAGACAGATAGGAAAAAGGGCCCCTGTTTCATGATCAGACTATGTATCAACTAATCTCTCTCAGTGGAACTACAATGGTACCTTGGTTCTTGAACTTAATCCATTCTGGGAGTCTGTTCAACTCACGAAACTGTTTGAAAACTAAGGCATGGCTTCCACTTGGCTGCAGGAGCTTCTTGCACTTAATTGGAAGCCACATCAGACATCCAGCTTCTGAAAAACATTTGCAAACCAGAACACTTACTTCTGGGTTTGCGGTGTTTGGGAGCTGATTTGTTCGACAACTAAGCCATTCAGGAACCAAGGTACCACTGTACAAAAAATTAACTCATCCACACTCTTGCTTCTCCCTTACCCGGAAAGCATGGGTCTGGGTGGTTTTCTGCTTCTCCTGCACTTTCTAAGCATGGGTCTGAGTGGTTTTGCCCTTGTCCGTTCTTTAGCGATAAATTGGAGAAAACATTATTGGCATTTGCTCCAATTTAGCAGTAAAGACGTTGTGTTTTTCCAGGGGAAAGCAAGTCTGGATGAGCCCTTTGGAAATGTGGAAGTTAGGAAAACTACTGCAGCTCAACCAATAATCTTCATCTGATCTATACCTGCTGTTAGTAGGAGATGAATGGTTCCAAACAAGTCATAAATGAGCAATGAACGAATATATGACATTTGGAATTCATCCAGAACTCTGGCATTTGTTTCTTTACTAGTAATATCAAATGAAATGAGTGGCCCCCATTCATTTCAATTTTTTCCATATGTTATGAAACAAATGCACACCCCCTCTAGGTTCTGTGCACAACCCCATGGTCACGAAGCCTTACATTCTGCTTCCAGCTCAGTTGAGAAAACATCTACATCTTCTACTTTGATCTGGTACACGCCAGCATCTTCTGGCTGCAGATCGTTGATGATAAAATTGTACTTTTTGCCAACCTGTCGCAGGCAGTGCTTTGTGTTTTCACTGTCAAATCCAAAATTGATCATCTGGCCATCCTGAAGGGAGGAAGGAAAGAGAATAAATTCACAGGAAGATCAGAATCATCTTGCAAATGATATAATAAACCAAGGTCCAAGCAAAACGATCCTTGCAAATGTCCATTTGCAACAAATTGACAGGTGACAAAGATTCCACGAATCCTCTATAATTGGGAATCATTGGTGGCCCCACCAAAAAACAAGCTAATCAGGGATTTAAAATGAATACGGATATGTAAATATTCGTAAATATTGAGTTTTGAGAATTTGGGCTGTCAGCATCAGGAATAAGTATTCATAAGAACATAAGAAGAGCCTGTTGGATCAGGCCCATGGCCCATCTAGTGCAGCATCTTGTCCTCAAAGTGGCCAACCAGTTGCCTGTGGGAAAGCAGCAAGCAGGACCCACCCAAGCACAACAGCACTTCTGCTGCTTCCAGCAACTGCCTCTGACCATGGAGGTAGAGCAAACCCATTGATAGATCCTCCATCAATTTATCTAATCCTCTTTTAAAACCACCCCAGTTAGGGGCCACCACCACCTCCTGTGGGTGAGAGTCTCATTGTCTAACTATTTGTACCCCATCCATCTGACTGGGTTGCCCAAGCCACTCTGGGTGGCTATGTGCTACATGAAAAAGTACTTTCTCTTATCTGTCCTAAATCTTCCAACATTCAAGTTCACTGGATGCCCAATGAGGACTTTTCGCTATCCAGTTTCAACATACCATGCGTAACTTCTGTCATGTCACCTCTTACCTTTGCTCTAAACTAAAAGGCCCAAACACTACCTCTCACCATAGGAGAGTTGTTCCATCCCCTGATCCTTTTGACTGCCCCTTTCTGAACCTTTCCCAACTCTACATTAACCTTTTGGAAGATTATTGTGTCATTGTTATTCCTCCTAAAGAGGAAGATGTAGATGCCATGCTTTCACTTTAACACATTCCCTTCTGAAATTTGTTTATACTGTAGGACTATATATATATATATATTCTGTATAGTATACCATGGAGTCAAGCAGTGCTGCTATACATTTCTCGGTTTCTCTCCTGAGCTACTTAGCTCCAGTTCAGCCCAGATGTCTGATATGGTACAACTTCGTGACTTGACTTAACCTTCCTTACCTTGTATAGGTAAATTCTACTTTCTGGATTTTTCAGTTCCATCTCTAGGTCAAATGAAGCATTTCCTTGCACCTCATTGACTCTGACATGCCTCAGGTTTCTGAGGTTGAGTAGATACTGTAAAGAGCAAAGAGGAGATGAAAGCACAGGGATATAATAATGGATTTCAAGGACTATTAACACTGCTTAAATGGGGTACTGCCTGTTCTGAGGGCAACCAAGTCAATTATTTCAACAGCAGCAAGCAAGATTACCATTTCGATGCTTTTTATGTAAATCTGGGTGCTCTCCTTTCTAAGGAGAATGTGCTGTGGAAAACAAGCCCAAGCCTTGTGGCAATACTCAGAGCCTTGGCAATTAAGTTTTAAATTTCACCTGGAGATCTGTGACTGGGTCATTTAATCCGTATGGGACCTTCAGAAAAACTTACTCAATTCTGAATTTGTGACACAGATAACATCATAATTCAGCAGTAAAGCATCTACTTTGCAGGCAGAATTTCCCAACAACAGTCCTCAGGCATCTCTAGATAGGACTGTGAGAGATCCCTGCCTTCAATCTGCTGGCAACCAGTGTAGAAAATACTGAGCCTGGTGAACCGATGGCCTGACTCAGTATAAGACAGTTTCTTCTTCTTTCTGTTAAATGCAACAAGATGAGGATTTGCCTCCCTAGATTCTGGCATTAAAGAGGTAGCCTTACCTGTGCCTGCTTGTCCTCTCTCTCCTTCTTCATCTCCTGAAGCTTCCTCAGCATCCCACGGAAGTCAACAATGCCATACTTCAGGCAGATCCTTTCATAATCTTTCTTATCTGCATTCAGCAATAACTGCCAGATCTGTTCCATATCGATTTCCTTCTTTGGAGCACTTGAAGGTGTTCTGAGAGAGTTAAGTACCAGGAAGAGAAACCCTGGTTATATGTGAATAGCAGGAGACATCTTTCTCAATATGTATATGTGGTGGGGTGTTTCTTTGGGGTGGGGGGGTTGCTTTTCATTCCAAACCCTCTTCAGAATCTGAGGCAAATCCACTAGGAACATACTAGTAGGACTCCATTTGTTTTCTTACTGACACCATATACAGCCTCCTCTGTTTATGCTGCGGATGTTTGCAGCTAATGGCAGAATTGCACTCAGTGGGTGGCATTATTAAGTACAATACATTATTTTTACAAGCTAAAATAACTCTGCATTGGAACATCTTACCTGGGGAGATGTTGGGCCTCCCACCATTTGGAATCATGAAACAGTAATTTATCAAGAAGGTGTTTTAAGCCTCTCTGTACACACAGTATTTATTATTCACTTATTACATTTATAGTTCCCTTTTCTTCCATGGAGCTCACCGTGGTATACACAGTTTACCCCTTCCTCATTTTATCGTCACACAACCCTGTGAGGCAGGTTAAGATGAGAGACTGCCACTGGCTGAAGGCCACCCCATCAGCTCTATGGCTGAGTGGAGATTCAATCTCTGGTCTCCTAGGTCCTAGTTCAGCACACTAACCAATGCACCCCACTGGCTCTCCCCTTAATATTTACAATCTTAAACAAATGGTAAAACCAGAAGACCAGACTGATGTCCCACCCTCCCACCCCCGAATTTACTTAAGCAAAAAGGTTATAACTTCAGGAGAAAGAGATACAAAAAAAAACCTGCAAAGCAAGACCCAATTGTATAAGGAATCATACACTGCTGACAGCAACATCTATTAGGGACTGATCCCTATTACTGTCAGAAGCAAGATATCTGCTTAGTATATACTGATGTTCATGAACATTTTCTGCAGAATATCTGTTTATATAACACCCTCTGCAGTGGGACTTGGGACACTGAGACAGAGACCCCCTTCCCCATACTTTATAAAAAAAACCTTTTCTTGGAAACACTCACCGTTTCTTTAATGTTTTTCTGAAGTCCTGGAGCTCCTTCTTCAGGTCTGTAAGATTTTTTTAAAAAGAATTGGCATGCAATGAAAATGGGCTTCCTTAACCCAGAACTTAATAAGAGCGTTGATGTGGTTGATGTATTATCAAGTCTCAAAGTCTTGGCTTGTGGGCCTCCAGCCCAATGCAGCTTACCTGTCTGTGGTGCAGAAGAAGTCTGCTTCGCTTTCTTCTTGAAGCCGACTGATCAGTTACGGCAAGAGAAGAAAGGTGAGGAGGGAGAGAAATCAAGAGGGAAGGAGAATTCCTTAATTAGCAATGTAGTTGCAGGAATGCCTCCTCTAAGCATTGACAGTTGTTACAATTTAGAAGTTAAGCACACTCAAGCCTCACAGAATTCTGAGGGCTTAAGTGTACAGTTCATACTTATACCGACTTCAGTGAGACAAGCATGGTTCTCTTTGTATTAGTTGAACTGGGAAATGCATAATCTATGTTTCTCATTTAAATATTCTATTAAAACATGACATTCAAATGCCTAATGGCAATTACAGTAATACAGAAAGCCCTTTGTTGGCCTGTAGATTTTAATGGGTATCTTTCATGAATAAGAATACCTATAGTTGCATTATACATATCATACTGGATTATTTTCTTTTCTGAATGACAGCAGTTCTCCAGGGTCTCAGGTCACTCACATCATTTGCTTCCTGATCCTTTAAACTAGAGATGCCAGAGGCTGAACCGGGAAACTTCTCCATGCAAAGTTATGTGCTCTACCACTAAGTTATTGTCCCTCCCGTACTTATTATTTGCATTAATAACGCCATCCTATGCATACCACAGAGCCTAGGGCTTGCCGATCAGAAGGTCGGCGGTTCGAATCCCCACGACGGGGTGAGCTCCCATTGCTCGGTCCCTGCTCCTGCCAACCTAGCAGTCTGAAAGCACATCAAAAGGGCAAGTAGATAAATAGGTACCACTCCGGCAGGAAGGCAAACAGCGTTTCTGTGCGCTGCTCTGGTTTGCCAGAAGCGGCTTAGTAATGCTGGCCACATGACCCGAAAGCTGTACGCCGGCTCCCTCGGCCAGTAAAGCGAGATGAGCGCTGCAACCCCAGAGTCGTTCACGACTGGACCTAATGGTCAGGGGTCCCTTTACCTTTTTATGCATACATACTCAGAAGTAAGTCTCATTGTACTCAGCGGTGCTTTCTCCCCTGGTAAGCATGTTTAGGATTGCAGCTTAAATAATAGTTGGTCCTCAGTGCCAAAGCATTATTGTTTAGGCTGGCAGCATCATGCTACCTTGACTAACCTACCCTGTATGATCTTGAGACCAGCAGTGCAGGTGGCTTCCCCATACTCATTCGCAGCAGTGCAACGGTACAAGTCAGCATCATCTGCAGTGATTTTATTTACCTTTAAAGAGAAAAGAGAAATGGAAATCAGTGCAGAAAATTTATTATTGTTGTGTGCACTCAGGTCCTGCTTGCCAGTTTCCTACAGGTGTCTGGTTGGCCAATATGAGAACAGGCTGGTGGATGAGGTGGGCTATTGGTCTGATCCAGCAGGCTCTTCTTCTTCTTCTAAGATGCTCCATATTTTAGGGAGAAGATTCACCAGTCCTTGACATTTTACTGCGTTAAAGATTAAACAGTATATTCACAGGAAGCTGTGTATATACCATACATTAAAGCACACGACTCCCCCAGCATCCTGGGAGCTTCAGTTTACTCATCGCAGAGCTAAAATTCCCAGCATGCTTAACAAACTGCAGTTCCCAGAATTCTTTGAGGGAAGCACATTTAAATCATAGAATCATAGAGTTGGAATGGGGCCAAAGGGTCTTCTAGTCCAACCCCCCTGCAATGCAGGAATCTCAACTAAAGCATCCATGAGAGATGGCCATCCAACCTCTGCTTAAAAACCTCCAAAAAAGGAGAGTTCACCACCTCTTGTGGGAGTCCATTCCACTGTCAAACAGCTCTTACTGTCAGAAAGTTCTTCCTGATGTTTAGTTGGAATCTCCTTTCTTGCAACTCGAAGCCATTGTTTTGAGTCCTAGCCTCCAGAACAGGAGAAAACAAGCTTGCTCCCTCTTTCATGTGACAGCCTTTAAGTTATTTGAAGATGGCTATCATATCTCCTCTCAGTCTCCTCTTATCCAGCCTAAACACACCCAACTTCCTCAACCGTTCCTCATAAGGCTTGGTTTCCAGACTCTCGTGGTTCTTGGTCATCCTTCTCTGCACACATTCCAGCTTGTCAACATCCTTCTTAAATTGTGGTGCCCAGAATTAGACACAGTTTTCCAGGCGGGGTCTCACCAAGTCAGAATAGAGTGGGACTATTACTTCCCTTGACCTTGACACTATACTTCTGTTGATGCAGTCTAAATGTATAGTGTGTACATAACCATAGATAGTAGTTAATTCTCACCTGCAGGATAAACTCATTTGTGGCTGGATTGAATGATATCTGGTATTTCTGAGGATCATCCACTGCCTCATTATTGCGTTTCCAGAACACCTCTGGTTGTGGTTCACCCTTGACCACAGCTCTGAAAATGGCATTTTTACCTTGGAGGGAAAAAGAAGGGAAATGTTTCAGTAGGAAGCAGAAATCCACAATAAAAACGGATGATGTAAAGGAATTCCCCTTTGAAATATTTGCCATGTGTTTTCTAGTTCCCTCCTAATAAGAAATAAAGCGTTCCAGCAGATGCCTTAGAAAGGCCCAAAATAGTTGGTTATTAAGCTGAGGCTCCAATACTTTGGCCACCTCATGAGAAGAGAAGAGTCCCTGGGAAAGACCCTGATGTTGGGAAAGATGGAGGGCACAAGAAGGGGACGACAGAGGACGAGATGGTTGGACAGTGTTCTCAAAGCTACTAACATGAATTTGACCAAACTGCGGGCGGCAGTGGAAGACAGAAGTGCCTGGTGTGCTCTGGTCCAAGGGGTCACGAAGAGTCAGACATGACTAAATGACTAAACAACAACAAACTGTTTAGTTTGCTTGCATTGTACTTTCATTTGCATTTGTTCACATAAAAATCCTAGGAATTTAAAGGAAGAGACTATCTCCACACAGCACCCCCCCCCCGATATACAACAGGGCTAGTTCTCAGTTCTTTGGCGATGCCTCACCTTCTTGTAATGTTAAGGTAATTGGCTTCCGCTCAAAGTCAGGTGTGCTGCACCCTTTCGGAATGTCCTCCACAAACTGTGTGATAGTCACTCCAGGGACGGCCGATCTCTTCAGAGTTTTAACTGCAAAGTAATAAATATTGACTGGAGGTGGGGCAAGAGGACCTTTATTAACTGAAACTTCTCTAATAGCTCAAATCCCATTATGCTAATTACTACAAGGCAGCAAGCTTGAAAGATAATTAGACTGTAAATGTCCCCGCACCAAAAAATGTGGTGTTTTGTTCTGACCCCTTTTTGAGAAAACATTTACTGAGCACCTGAGAGAAATAAAAATCTAGCCAACTTTAGGTGTTTCCAGATGCCTGCTTATTATGAGACTGCTGCTCCTCTTCCATGCAAGATGTTGCTGTTGATTGTTGCTGCACTGTTCGCACAAGATTGTTGGCTTCAACATGCCAACCCATCATCTCCTCACCCTTTAATCCAGATTTATTCTTTTGAGGAGAAATCCATTAAGAAAAAGAAAAAAATGCTGCCTGTGACCCATTTGCAAATTAAGCCCCATTCTGGAAACACACTTTGTATCTTCCATTCCAAGGCCGAGAAGAGATCCCCTAGAAGTAATTTTGGGTATCGTAAATTACAAACATTACTCCCATTCTAGAACATAGCTGTCAACGTCTCCCTTTTCTTATGAGGAATCCTATTTGGAATAAGGGAATTTCCCTTTAAAAAAGGGAAACGTTGACAGCTGTGTTCTAGAATGTCTGTGTAGTTGAGGCTTTGGTCTGCCATATTGCCTGCCTCTCTCACCTCCCCTCCGGCCTGCCATTCCTCTTCCGGCAGCAACTGGAGCTCAGCAGGAAAACCTGATGAATTCCTCCTGCAGAAAAATGGCAATCACCTATTAGTATACATGGCTGGGGGACGCACTAGCAATAACAATAACAGCAATAATTTTATTATTTATAAGATGTTGTTCTCGAAGTGTGTGCACCCAGGAAGGCTGCAGAATGCAGACCATTCGTATAATAAAAGGGCACTTGTGATAACATGGGTCTAGGGCCTCAAAACTTCTGCACCCCACGCATGAGAATTTCACACACACACAAATTCTCCTCTATGATAGTTTTTAGATCCAATTTTGTTTCTCCCTAGATGGAGAATAATTGCTGGGGCCGTAGGAACCACAGGAGAAATCAGTACTGTGCTATTTGAGACTAGTAGTCTGGTCTCAGAGAAACTCATATAGCTCCCAAATGGACAAATGAGGATCATTTTACTCTTTTGGATGAAGTACAATAAAATAAACCAGGAACAAAGGAATAGGCTCTTTGAATGTTTGGCTTTGGTTGTCTTTGCCTGCCTGCTGTTGGCTGCCTGCTGTTCCAGGCAGATTTTTAACTGAAGAAATGCCTATCGCTGCTTGGAAATAAAAGCACTAGGTGGTGCTAGAGAGATCGTTCAGAATCAGAAAATGACGGGAAAGTTCTTTGTTGTGCCAACACCATCTCAAAATGAGGGTGCATGGCAGATGTTTGCGTACCCTTCCGATGTTGTTCACATAGTCTGCCTTACAAATTAAGGATCATAGAAATATATTTACAAATTTCTATCTGAGAAAAAAGAGAGGCAGATGCTGACATTTCAGAGGAAACCATCAAAATATTTATATTTCACCAATCTGCTGACATTCCAAAGTCATCACACCACTCTTTCAAAAAGTTTTTAGAAAGTAATGTGCTCAATCAGAAATTGAGGGACTTCTAAGCAATAACTTGCATACCCTAAGAAAGAGAGCATCTTGCTGACTCTCTATGGAAAAGTGTACCCAAAATGCCACTTATGGTGGGACCATTCGGATAGGAGTAGTAGTAGTAATAATAATAATAATAATAATTTGTTATTTATACCCCTCCCATCTGACTGGATTTCCCCAGCCACTCTGGGCGGCTTCCAACAAAATATTAAAATACAATAGTCCGTAAAACACCAAAAGCTTCAGATGACTTCTAAAAGTCTGGTAGTTGTTTTTCTCTTTGACATCTGATGGGAGGGCGTTCCACAGGGTGGGCACCACCACCGAGAAGGCCCTCTGCCTGGTTCCCTGTAACTTGGCTTCTCGCAGCGAGGGAACCACCAGAAGGCCCTGGGCACTGGACCTCAATGTCCGGGTGGAACGATGGGGGTGAAGACGCTCCTTCAGGTATACTGGACCGAGGCCATTTAGGGCTTTAAAGGTCAGCACAAACACTTTGAATTGTGCCCAGAAACGTACTGGGAGCCAATGTAGGTCTTTCAAGTGGTCTCGGCGGCCACTTCCAGTCACCAGTCTAGCTGCCGCATTCTGGATTAGTTGTAGTTTCTGGGTCACCTTCAAAGGTAGCCCCACATAGAGCGCATTGCAGTAGTCCAAGCGAGAGATAACTAGAGTATGTACCACTCTGGCGAGACGGTCCACGGGCAGATAAGGTCTCAGCCTGCGTACCAGATGGAGCTGGTAAACAGCTGCCCTAGACACAGAATTGACCTGTGCCTCCATGGTCAGCTGAGAGTCCAAAATGACTCCAAGGCTGCGCACCTGGTCCTTCAGGGGCACAATTACCCCATTCAGTCACCAGTATGACTGCTTCTTAATTGCTAAGATCACTAGCAGCAAGCAGCAAGTATAGCCTCTCTCCTAACAGTGTATCTGACTGCATTCCTCTTCATCCCAGGTGGCCCAGCCCTTATTAGGCATTGAAGCCATAGGGTGTACTCTCAGACTCTCTAAACCAAAATCTACTATACCTCCACAGCGTTCTTTACATGCCATCTGTCATTGGATGGGCATCTTGCTAGTTTGAAATAACTGCTTTGGTCACACCATATACCTCTCTGTGAATGGGTTTCAGAGAGCAGATATTGCAAAAAAACAAAACCTTGACTCTCTAATGTCATTTCAATTGTAAACTTGGGACTCAGCTACATTGTCAAAGAAAAAGCTGTTTATATGCATTGTTTATGCATTATAACACTGTGACACCAGATGGCACTGTGGAGTTCCGTTTTTTGCCAACCCGATTTCTCATGCAAAGTTCACAACACATTTAACTGAAATGTTTCTTTGATGTGTCTAGATCCAGCACAGATTTAATTCCCACTGAATTCAATGATAATGGAGTTAAGGGGGAAGGAATCAAATGCAAGTAACTTGTTAGAAAGACATATTGCTGGAAATGCTTCATGTACCCCAACTGACCGGCGTCATAAAATCAGCAATTTGAGGCAAGGGGAAAAAGCCAGAATAAAATCAGAAATAATGACGGGACTAAAGGATTTGGGGGATTTGCAGTTCCAGATTTAAGAAGATACTTTGAAGCTGCATGCTGGAGCTGGTTGAAAGAGTGGATGCTATTAAAAAATACTGAAATCTTGGAATTAGAGGGCTGGGATAAAATTTATGGTTGGCATGGCTATTTAATCTACGGGAAAATACAAATGCATAAAGGATTCACGAATCATTTTGTGAGAAAGGCCCTATTCGAGGTATGAGAGAGAACAAAAGAGAGAATTACAGAAAGAAGCCCATGGTGGACCTCTCCAATAGAGGCAACCTCAACATTAAAAAATAATACAAAAAATGCTTGGCCATCTTATAAAGATCTGGTAGAAGGAACGAATGAAAATACCAAATTAAAGGAATATGAAGAACTTTAAAAATTGAGAATAAATTGGCTGGAATATTTCCAATTTAAGGCTACATATGAGAAAGATATAAAGACCAGAGGATTTGGAAATAAAATATCAAAATTAGAAAAAGAGGTTTTACAGAATAACCAAAAAATACTCGCCAAAATGTATAGATTATTAGACAACATTCATCTAGATCAAGAAACCAAAGAAAAGAATATGCAAAAGTGGGAACGAGATTTAGGCTATACAATTGAATATAAAGATGGGGGGGGGGATTGGACAAAAAATATAAATTTCACGGCCTGCTACTCATTAAGAGAGAACTATATGAAGATGCATCACAGGTAGTACCTGGCACCAGACAGATTGGCAAAAATGAATAAAACAAGTAGCAAGAAATGCTGGAGATGTAATAGAATGATTGGTACCCTATATCATATGTGGTGGACATGCCCAAAGATTAAAAAATTCTGGGACATGATTCACGAAGAGATTAAAAAATTGACAAAAATATCATATATTAAAAGGGCAGAAGCATATCTATTAGAAATTTTGAATAATGATATCCCCAAGGACAAAATCAACATCTTTCTGTATGCAACAAAGGCAGCGAGAATGTTAGTAGCAAGTCATTTGGAAAGGAAATCATATCCCAACAAAGGAGGAATGGTTGAGTAAACTATGTGAGTACATGGAGTTAGCAAAATTGACTGATTTAATAAGGCAAAAACCAAAGATTATAATCCAAAAACAATGAGAATGTCTATGTAAACAGCTCGAGTGCAAATGTTTGGTTGGTAGATTAACCTGGTGAAGAGTACAGAGAACCTAAAGATTTGATTTGAAATTTGAAAGAACTTAAGGAAGGAAAATTATTGAATGACAGATGTAATTTCGATCATGATAATTAAGGGATGTGTGGTGAATGCAGTGGAAATCTTTTATTAATATTTCAAATAAGATCCATATATTGAAGTGTTTGAAGTATGAATTTGGTAAAATCTTTGGTTATGAAAAGTAACTTTTTTCTTTCTTTCTTTTCTTCTTCTTCCTTCTCCCCCCCCCCTTTTATATTCCTCTCTCTTCCCTTTTTCTCTCTTATCTTCTTTTTTTCTTTCTTTTCTGGCTTTTATTGTGGAAAATATGTATATAAGTTTGTCTGCAGTGTTATGGTTTTCTTTTCTGTTTTCTTTGTAACAAATAAATAAATTAATAAAATAAAATAAAAAATTTAAAATCAGCAACTTGAAATGAAGCCCAGTTTTATTTTTAGTCAGAAGAACCAATGCCCCATTTGTGCTACAAACGCTCATGGCTTCCCCAAAGAATCTTGGAAAGTAAAGCTTGTTATAAAGGTATTTTGAGAGTTGTTAGGAGACCACATTCCCCCTGCAGAGCTAGGGTTTCCCGAGTTCACTGGGAAGAGGGATTGATTGTTAAACCACTCTGGAAATTATTGCTCTGTGAGGGGAATAGAGCTCTCCTAACAACTCCGAGGATGCTTAACAAATTAGAGTTCCCAGGACTCTTTGGGGAAGCTATGATACTGCTTTAAATGTATGGTGCGAATGGGCCCTAATTCAGGGATGGGGAACCTGTGCCTCCTGCAGATGTGCTGGACTGCAACACCCAACATCCCTGACCATAGGAGCCCGAAGAAGAAGAAGAAGAAGAAGAAGAAGAAGAAGAAGAAGAAGAGGAGGAGTTTGGATTTGATATCCCGCCTTTCACTCCCTTTAAGGAGTCTCAAAGCGGCTAACATTCTCCTTTCCCTTCCTCCCCCACAACAAACACTCTGTGAGGTGAGTGGGGCTGAGAGACTTCAGAGAAGTGTGACTAGCCCAAGGTCACCCAGCAGCTGCATGTGGAGGAGCGGGGACGCGAACCCGGTTCCCCAGATTACGAGACTACCGCTCTTAACCACTACACCACACTGGAGGGCCACTATCTCCCCATTCCTGAAGTACTTTCTATGATTTCCATTTTGTCTAACACCCAGGAATATGTTCACAGGGTTACACATGCATTTTAGACACATATGACTATGCCTATTGAATAATATGATAAACAAAGATAGCTGCCGGTATACTTCTATAGTCCCATCTAAACTGGTCAGTGCCAACACCTGCCAAGATAACATGAACCAATTGGCCAAACAGAGCAGATGATATTCCTGCTATGTCCTATTCCTTGTCCTTATCTGTCCTT